AGGAAATCACTTCGTAAATTATTATTCAAGACTTTGTACTTAATAAGAAATAAATTTGTGATGAGCCTTAAAATCTTCATATAGTCATTGTGGAATTTAAGTTTGTATTTTAACTTTGTTTTATTTACAGAATACCTTATACCCATGTACATATGATCAATTTAATCTAAAGCCATGCTGAAATGTGGCTTAGCAGTTAGAGTTAACATAGTGAAACATTGCGTCCTAAGTTTATCCTTAAGGATAACTTACAACATGCACTTGAGTAGGCAATCATTTTTGAACTTTAATTTCCTTTGAGTTAATGTGAGAGAGAAAAAGAGAATCATTTTGGTGCTTTCGCTGAGGGGTTCATGATTCTTTTTAAGTCATTTGCATTTCAGCTGAAGTGTTTGAGTGACTTCAATTATCCACAAATGATAGACACAATAAACCACAATAATTCTGTTTGGGTGTTTAAGGAATCTTTAATCCGTGCATCATCACCACTGTATGCAAGAATGACTTTTGGTTTAGTCAGAGAGCCTTTGATACATGGATTCATGCATGCAGTGCAATTCTCTGAGCTAAAATTCATCATAAATTTTTGATGAAAATCAGATACTGTGAAGAATTTGATGCCTTAATGACATAGGTTTGCTGACGTAGTAGCTATTCACATTCTCAAGAATGTAGACAAATGCTTGTCATTAAAAGGTGTCTGAGTTTCTTTCAGGAACCAGTGAAGGAGCATTAGGCAAATTTTGAAATGAGTTTTGGAAAAGGGGACATAATGCAATTTTTGAAACATGTTTAGAAGCCCAATAACAAAGAGTAAAGGTGCTCTGCATATATTAGTGCCTTTGTTTAGTAAAATAACCATACTGTGTGCCGTTCTTTTACTATTAAAAGATAGTTTTGTGATTAGTGTAGTAAATAATAGATGCTTACTTAGCTTCCTTTGTTTTTAGGAAATTAACAATGACAATAGCATGCAAAATTTGCTTTGTAGAAGACTAGTAAAAGTAAGTAGGCACTTGTTCAAAGCCAAATGAAAACAGTGGCGGAAATGTGAAGAATCTGTACATGGGAACAATGTCAAGGACTTTGTAGCGGGACCAAGAGAGGAAACTTGATAAGAAAGTAGTTAGCCCTTCGTGGCTCATAGGGCTTTCCAGATTGGTGGTAGGAAACTGTATTTCTGCAACAGGATTGCCACTGATTCCATCTCTTCTCATTCAGCTGTTCCCTACACAACATTGGTGAGAAGAGCTGTTTATGGATAAGTCAGGAGCTATATAAATGTTTTGGACAAATTGTTATCACAGACAAAGGATAATTTGGTTTTTAAAAAAGCCAGACCATGAAGGGTTAACTAGCTACACTCTTTTCAAAATATGGGTGGTTCCATCTTTTTTTTACCATAAGCAATTTCTGATAAACCTTCATAAAGCAGATAGTTATGAAAATAATTGAGTTTTCTCTCCTTAAGGGGCACTGTAGTGATTATAGCCTGTGAAATCCGGCCAAGGACTTATCAGATATTAATAAATTGTACAGTATTTCACAAAGGTGAGGATTTAAAATGTAAGCCTCCATGCTACCTTTTTTTCTTATAATTCTATAATAGAGAAAAATATGTGCCAAACTGGGAAACTGGAAAAAAAATATTAGCATTAGATCTAAGATATTGTTCCTCGGAATATTAGTGCTAGAAAGGGCCAGTGTTTTTCAGACTTTCAAAGCACAGAAGCTCATTCTTAGTAATGAAATCTTAATCAGAGCTCCCGTTTATAAATTAGTAAAAGCAGAACCGTGGCCCCCACCTTGGACTTGCCTTCCCTCTTGAGGGTCCCCGAGGAAGTGCTGGCACCCGAGGTCTAGTCCAGCTTCCATGTGCCACACATGAGCCACGTGAGGCTCACCTGAGGGCACAGGGGGTAGGTGCCAGATTTGGAACTAGAATCCCTGAGTTCTGTGTCACAGTCCGCTATCCTTACCGTGCTGCCTTCTCCACTCCTGCCCAAACTGGGTGTGATGGGTCTTTGGTCTTCTGAGTTAAACAGACCCTGGCGATGAGCTTTTTGCCTTGGACAAATTGCTTAACCCCTCTGCTTCTCAACTTTCTTACCTGGGAAAAGCAGACCTACCTCATAGGTCTGATTTAAGGATTACTCAGCTTTAGCATATTTTAAGTACTTTATTATTACTACCCAAAGGCTAAACTCCATGAAGCTTTAAAGTCTCAGAACTGGCTGGATATGGTGGCTCATGCCTGTAATCCCAGTATTTTGGGAGGCTGAGACAGGAGGGTTGCTTGGGGCCAGGAGTTCGAGACCAGCCTGGGTAATATAGCAAGACCCCGTCTCTACAAAAAATAAGAAAAATAAGCCAGGCCTGGTGGTGTATTCCTGTAGCCCCAGCTACTCTGGAAGCTGAGAAGAGAGGATCACTTGGGCCAAGGAGTTCAAGACCAGACTGGGCAACATAGTGAGACCCCTGTCTCCACAAAAAAATTTTTTAAAAAGCCAGGCATGGTGGTGTGTGCCTGTAGTCCCAGCCATTCGGGAGGCTGAGGTCAGAGGAGCACGTGAGCCAAGGAGTTGGAGGCTGCAGTGAGCTATGGTGGTTCCACTGTATTCCAGCCTGGGCAACAGAGTGATACCCTTTCTCCAAAAAAAAGAAAGACTCAGAACTAAAACTGTTTCAGGCTAAATAACCTTTGTCTCAATAGTGGGAGTAGTGTACAAATTCTCCAATCAGTTTAGATTAACTCAGCTTTTTTATCTGTTGGTGCTTCTTAGGCCTCCCCCACAAGTGTCAATTGGTTTGTTTTCTTAGAATTTAGAAGAATTTCTAGATTATTTGAATACTTCAAATACTTTAAAATTTTGAAAGCTTTCCAGGGATATTTTATCTTGGTACCTTTACCTTTTTTCAGTCCAGTTCCCAGCAGGAAATAGGGGTATCTTAGTCCATTGGTGTTGCTATGAAGGAATACCCGAGGCTGGGTAATTTATCCAGAAAAGAGGTTTATTTGGCTCACAGTTCTACAGGCTATACAAGAAGTGTGGTGCTGGCACATACATCTCGTGAGGGTCTCAGGCTGCTTCCACTCATGGTAGAAGGGGAGGGGAAGCTGGTATGTGCAGAGATCACATGGCAAGAGAGCAAGCAAGAGAGAGGGGAGAGGTATCAGACTCTTTTTAACAACCAGCTCTCGTGAGAACTAAGAGAGCAGTAACTCACTCATCCCTCTCCCAGGAAGGGC